GAGCTCCCTTTTAGGTTGAAAGGGAGCACTAACAGGAACAGTGCCCTGGAGTGGGGGTGGGGAGAACCAGTTCAGCCTCCAAGTCAGTAGAGTGAGTTCATTCAGGGCTCTTTGACTTCTTGGATGCCCTGAGAACCAATGAAGGCTATGAATTGGGTTGGTGTACATTTTCTTTCTTTCTTTTTTAAGTTTAGTGTGTCCTGGAAGGCAGGGTCTGTCAGCTTTCAGGAGTCATTTTCTTCTTCCAAAATGTGGGCCCTGGGGATTGAACTCGGGTAGTCAGATTTAGCAGCAAGTGCCTTAGCCACTAAGCCTTCTCATTAGCCTCAGTGCTCACTTTCAGAACCCTTCTATGGCTTCTGTGAAAAACCAGTGAGAGGAGTGGATGTGGAAGCTGCTTAGGAGAAGGTAGGGGAAGATGACAAGGGTGAGTGGGGGCAGAGGCAGACGAGCTACAGTCATGATACCTGGGAACAGGACAAGTACTGAGGGTTGGGTGGCTTCCCTGTGGGCCTGGGGAAGCTCTTGTCCAGAAAGATCCAGAACTCACTTCAGGAGGCATCCAGTGAACAAGGATTCCTGGGTGTGGGTGAGACAGGCAGGGTTGGACAACCTTCCCCGGGGTGGAGTGGAAGCTGTACAGGTGCAGTACTAGGGCCTGTTGCAACAGAGGTATCCCTGGGTGGTTAAGGAGCTAGCCCAGTAAGAAGTGAGATGGCCGCTAGCATCAGTCCACCTGGTGTCTCTTTGAAGGCCTTGCAAAACCAAGGCTGCTGTTGGCCATGTAGCTAATGATAGACACTAAAGGCTTTATGTAATGGGGTGCCCACCTGACCTGCTGTTCATGTGTACAGCTCATACGTAAGAAGAAAACTTTGGGGGCTGGAGAGGTGGCTCAGTGGGTAAGAATACATACTGTGTTGACAGAGGACTCAAGTTCAGTTTCTAGCACCCAAGTTGGGCTCCTCATTTCATCTAAGTCCATCTCCTGAGGATCCAGTGCCCTCTTCTGGCCTCCCAGTCATCTGCACTTATGTGCACATAACTACACACAGAAACACACATATGAATAGTTTAAAAAGAATCACTAGGCAGCAGTCATGACATACACCTTTAATCCCAGCACTTGGAAGGCAGAGACAGGCAGATCTCTGTGAGTTTGACTCCAGTCTGTTCTACATAGTGAATTATAGGCTATCCGGGGCTACATAGTGAGATCATGTCTGAAAACATAAGCAAATAGATAAAAATGAAATGAAATTAAAATTTTTAAATGTGGTTCTTTTTAAAAGGTGGAGTGGGGAGCTAGCAGGCTCCTTTGAGCTCACTTGGTTCGGTACTTGTCAAACATGCTGGAAGATTGGGGTTTGATCCCCAGCATTGAATAAACCAGGCACACACTTTTAATTCTAGCACTTAGGAGGTAGAGGCTGGAGGATCAGGAATTCAAAGTCATCCTCAGCTATTGTGAGGCCATCTTGGACTACATGAAAGCATGTCTCAAAAAACAAGCAAAGAAACAAACAAACAAAAAAACTCAAATGATGAAGATGAAGTATTTTTTTTTTAAAAAAGAAAGAAACCCAAAACAAAACTAGCAGGCCCCACATGGCTAGGGTGAAATTTATCTGTCTGAAACATATCTGTCTGAAAGTAGGCCAACATACCCACGCCCAGAGAGGGATCTGGGGACTACAAAGTGGAGATAAGGTCCATTCCCAGTTGGGAGTTCACTAGGAGGCAATATGGCTGCCTCGCCCACCCACTGGCAATGGGTATGGGGTATGTGCGAGAGGAGGCAAATGGCCACTTACCCTCAACTCCTCAACACTCAGCCACACTGCCCCCAGAACCTTGGACAGGGACAGACAGCTTGGGAAGGATCCCAGGGAAGGCTGCAGTTCAGGATTGAAGCCTGTCTGTTCTTGTTTCTCGGGGTCCTTTGGCCTGGAACATTTGGTGGAGCCCATTAAAATTAAAAAGCCAAGTGGCTGGAGGCTTGGAATGCCAGCTCATTTTCCCTGGCATGGTAGGTCCTGTTTAAGGGAACCAGCTGGCATTAATGGCACACAACTCGTCACAAACAGCAGCTAGCGATCAGAAGAATCAGAGCTAATAATCGGGTTTGGGAAAGATAATGAGATATGGAACTAGCGATCAGAAGAATCAGAGCTAATAATCGGGTTTGGGAAAGATAATGAGACAAAGACCAGCCATTGCCGAGGGTCCCCCAGGGTCTGTTTTAGCAGCCTCCAAATAAGCTACAAAACAGAAATTAACCAAACAGGGGCTTCATTTGGGCAGAGGGGGAAAACAAACAAGGTAGAGATTTGCACACGAATTCCTAGTATGGCCATGCCCAAGCTCAGGGCCTGTGGGCCAACGACCACTGTCCGAAGGAGGCATGGGGCTTTCTGTGACCACTTGTCTCCAAGGGCACTGTGAGGTCAGAGCTGCTGCTGGGAAGCCTAAAGAGAAGACTAGCTTCCTGCGGCTCCTTTTTTCCTACCCCTGCTTCCCACTTGGCATGGGGCAAACCAGCTAGGTTACCTCTTCCAGACAGTGACAGTCCTAGCCAGTGGGGAGAAAGGCCAGCCAGGAAGGGGTCAGTTTCAGACTGGCACAGAAAGTCTCAGTGTTGGCTGTGAGCAATTGTCTCTAGTCTCTCTCCGCCTCCCCCTGCATTCCAGCTCTGCCCAGTCCCAGGAAGCTGCCAGCCATGGAGAAGCTTGGGCCTTCTTGTTCCCTTCCCCCATGGCTCCTGCTTCCTACTTCTTCAATACTTCATCATCTTTCTAAGTGTGTGTGCAGGGCTTTGCCACCTGCTGAGATAGGGTACATCGAAGGCCCTACCTCCCATTTATGCAACACTGGGGCCCCAAGGCCTAGTGGGCCTTTGTTTGGGATCCCATGTTATACACACGATCCATGGCTACAGGGGTGTCTGCTCATTGCTTCTTGAGAAGGAGGCTGTGTTAGTTGCTTTCTCATTGCTGTTATCAAACACCCACAAGGACACCCTTAGGAAGTGAGGGTTTACAGCTGGGCCCATGGTCTGAGGATACTGTCTACATGGCAATAAGGCATGGTGACATGGAGGTAGCTTGTCATACTGCATCCATCATAAGAAGAAAAGCAAGGTGAATGCTAGTGTTCAGCCTGCTTCCTCCTTTTTGTGCAGTCCAGGCCTCTGGCCCACATTTAGGGTAGCTCTTCCTACCTCAGTGGACTCAGTCTAGAAACTCCATTACAGACACACCCAGCCCGGTATTTCCTAGGTGATTTTAGATTCTGCCAAGTTAATGGTGTTAACTATCACAGAAGCCAATTGGAAAGGGGGGGTGAAGCTTTGGAATTGGCAGGCGCTGGGTTCAAATCCTAGTTTTACCTGCCACTACATAGCTGCCTGTCCTCGGCAAAGTCACCGGTCCTCTCTGAGCCTGCCTCTTCTTGAAAATGTCTTGTTAAGACATTGCACGTGATAGCTGTGGTGTGTTTCTGGGGTAGAGCACTTGCCCAGGATGCCAGGCATCCTGGGTTCATCCCCAGCACTGTGAAAATAAAAAGCACTTGTTGATGGCACAAAGGAGATCTCCAGACAGTCCGCTCCACTTCCTCTTCATCTTCAGTGTGTGCTTCGCCCTTCAAGCTTTCCCTTTGTACTTTCCCTGTGAGGCTCAGGAGACTGTTTCTGAGTCACTCATTGCTGAGAGCTGGGGTTCCCTGGACTTGATGAGCTCCATCTGAGCAGTAATACCTAGGATGGGCCGGTGGCGTTCAGAAAGGTCCTGTTATGTCATTTACATATGGATAAGCAGTCAGTTCCTGCCACTCAGCTCACCCTCAAGTAAGCAAGGAGAACATGGGCAGGGCTCTGAACATCGACATGACAGTTAGGATATGCCTGCCACACTGAGAGCCCAGGCAGAAGTGGCTGGCTGCCTGGCAGATGGTTGGCTGGCACTCTTGTCCCATGCCCTTGCACTGGAGCCTGGGCCCAGCTGTTCCTGTTCTACTTCAGGCACTCAGCCTCCTTGAGGCTTCTCAAAGGCCCAGCAACCAAAAAGGTTGAGTCAAGAGCCAGGCTAAGAGCACAGGGTAGCCTGCTAAGCCATCAGGAGTCCAGAGCTGAATACAGACCAGATCTTGCCGTGGCCCTTACTGCCTCCTCTTCTTAGGATGGACCATCAGGTCAGGGCTGGCTGTATCAGTCTGGAGTACCAAGACTTCTGGGTCACATCTGCTGTCTCTCCATGCCTGCTGCTCATCTAGTTTCTTCTAGATAGTTCTCTGATGGCCTAATCTACCTTCCTGTCCCCCAGAGAAGCCCCTTCTCACCAGTACAGAGCTCTCCATCCAATTGTCTGCTTGTACCTGACCCTCAACCCCCAGCTCATTGAGCTTATGCTCAGAGCTACTAGATACAGCATTTAGTGCCGAGTGCACATGTAAAAGGCGTGCAGTCCTTCTCTCCCACAGGTCCAGGGTCAGGGACCACACTGATGAGCCCAGGACTAAGTGCTTGGAGAGAGGTACTGGAGAAACAGGGAGAGGTAACATTGTCACATGGCTGCACTTACTGAGCCCTCTTGTGTGTCAAGCTCATTCCTTTTATGTGCATTCTTATTGTAAACCCTGAATGTGGTAGAAATAACTGTCCTTTTTCTACCACCAGGCAGTGAAGTAGAGAGAGGATAATGAGGATAATGAGTCACCTGCGTAAGGTCCCACTGCTAGTAAGTGACAGAGGTGATAGACTTCAGAGCTGGTCCTGAGGGAACAGGTGTCACCTGAGGTGGATGGGTCACCCCAGACCTAGGGACCAGGTCAGCAAAGGCTAGAGGCCAGAAGGCCCAGTTGGCCTCAGAAGGGCGGCACCTGGGTGTGGGGTGTGAAGGAAATTGGAGGGATCTCCTCCAGCTGTCCCTCCAGTTCTGCTCCTCCCTCCCATGAGCCCTTGCAGCATCGTGAATCTTCTTCTGTTTTCTTTGCTTTCCAAGGTGGGCCTTAATGTGCTGGTTCAGAAAGCCAACAAGTTCACCCCAGCCACTCGCCTTCTTGTGCAGAGATTTGTGCCCTTCCCTGCAGTAGGTAAGCTCCCTCTCTCTCTCTCTCTCTCTCTCTCTCTCTCTCTCTCTCTCTGTGTGTGTGTGTGTGTGTGTTGCATGGTGGGGGTCTGGGGGACTTCCAAGCACCTGGGTGAATGGTGGTTCTTCAACGTCATATCTCCCTGATGTTTGCAGACTTGTGGCTGGGCGATGAAGACCAAAACTTACACACATAGAAATGCAGGACCCACCAGCTCAGTGTATGAGATACAGCTTTGGTACAAATTCTTGTGTGTTGTGTTTTGTTTTGTTTTGTGGTGTTGGGGATGCAACCTGGGACTTCATGCACACGAGGCAAGTGTTCTAGCAACCGAGCCACACTCTCAGCCCTTTGTTTGAGACAAAGTCTCCGTCTGAAGCTTAGGGTGACTTGGCACTCACTATGTAGTGCAGGCTAGCCTCAGACTCCTGGGAGACTTAGCACAGAGGCTGTTTGTTTGATCACTTGTTTTGAGACAGTCTTATGTATCCCAGAGTGGCCTCAAACTTGTTATATAATGGACCATGACCTTGGACTTCTGATCCTCCTGCCTCTACTTCAGCAGTGTTGGGATTACATGTGCACACTAATAACCTTTTGGTTTATTGGGTGCTGTTGATCTGATCCGGGGTATCCTACATGCTAGGCAAGCACTCTGGCAATATCTCCATTCCAGCACAGGGAGATAGATTCCTAACCTGGATCTCCAGGCTAGTAACATCAGCAGACAGATCACAGTGGATCCTTTGAACTGTGAAAAGTATTCGCAATAAAATCTAATAAAAAATCTTTATTCTTTCTATCATGAGTATGCCCAGCAAATAGTAAAAACAAGGACATGGGGCTTTGTTAGCAGGAAACACCAGGTTACTCCATGCCACATTGCAGATGTTACTCAGAGGCCTGGAAGTCTTGCTTCTGTGCAGGGTGAACCCAAATAATCGTATGTGATACTTCAACTGCCACATCTTACTTTCTCATCAGGTAAAAGGCAGTTGATTAGCTGACCTTGGGAGTGCACATTTGTAATACCAGCAGGGATGTGGAGACAGGAGGAGGAGAAGTCTAAGATCATCCTTAGCTATATAGTGATCCTGGGCCAGCCTGGGCTACAGGTAGCAACACACGTTCAGTTCCTAAGACCCACATGATGGAAAGAGAGAACTGATCCCCAGAAGCTGTCCTCTCGTGTTCATACATGCCTCCACCAAGTAAATAAATTTAAAGGCACATCTATTACTGAATCACAATAAAAATTTTGATAACTTGTTTTAATCTCTTTATAAATCTTTTGAATTTTGTTTCATACATATAGAAATATTAATCTGAGAGGGATGTTTAGTCTTCACCTGATTGTCAGAGGGGCCTCTGGCCACAGGGAAACTCACAGTTTTTGCTGGATCCTTAGGATGCTGCAAAGCTTGGCCTGGCTCTCAGGAAGCAGTGCCCAGTTTCAGGAATGGAGACTACGATGCAAAGTTTTGCTTTGTTTTAGAAATAATTGTAGAAGCAGCACAAAGCAGTTTAGCATTTGTTGTTCAAAGAAGTATACATGAGTACTAGAGCCCTGAGTCAGAGTCCCCCTCTCAGAACCTTTGTCAGAGGACAAAGGTGGGGACCAGCCCATCCCAGGGCCTGAAGGTTCTGAAACCTTCTGTTGTCAGTGCTCACTCTGAAAGCTGAGTCCCCCCAGCTCATAGCACTGACCTGACCTTCTGATCAGGCCTCAGCTTCTTGTATGTAATATGTAGGCTTGGTATTCTCCATCTATGGCCACAGACCAGACTCCATTAACAGGAACTTGTTGTGGAGTAACTACAGAATGGGGTGACCTCACCCGCTCCATGCCCAGTGGCTAATAAACTCCCAGAACCAACCACCCAGTGGAGCCTAGCCAACCCAGATAATTGCTATAGCAACTCCACACTTGTAATGAACTCTTAGCTATTTCTGCCGTGGGCCATTAATGGAATAACTCTTTAAAGCCGACTTCATCATGGGGTCTAATTGAGCAAAAAACGTGGCTACTCAGTGGCTGGGCTTACAGCCACCAGGGCTGGAGGGTCCGAGGCAGCCTAGACTGGCTCTGAGGCTCCACTGAGAAGCAATTGGGTCTTGGGGAATGGAGGGAGCAAGCCTCAGATAAGAACTTTGCCAGTGGCTTGTTCCAGTCATGTCCAGCCCCCATTGTGCTGTGTGACCTTGAGCTGGTCTTAACCTCTCTGAGACTCCCTCAGGAGAAGCCTTTCCTCTGTTCTGAGACTCTGACCTGCTCCTCTCAGCCTTAGCCTGATTCCCTCCCATCTTCTTCTTGGCACAGCCTTCAGCCCTACCAGCCAAGTCCAGCCTCTGCCACGCAGCTTGAGGCCCCTATATCCATAGCTGGTTGTACACATGGTGCTTTGCAACTTGCTAGTCCTCACTCCCAGGACCTTGGGAGAAGCCAGCCCATCTGCAAAGAGACTTCCACTCATCGCCCTGCTGAGGGATTGGCCACAGTGTGGTGTCAGGTCAGAGCCTTCATCTGCTCCCTGCACTTAGGGTCTCTGTACCATGTACTGCCCTGACTGGGACGGAACATCTCAAAGTCACTTGGCCTTTACTTTCTGCAGCAGCTGGCTAGCCACTGCCAGCCTAAGAGAAGCTTGCTCGGAAGCTACTTCACCATGTAAAAGGCTACTTTCCCATTAGGGTACCAGCATGGTGGGAGGACTCTGTCACAGGAAGGAGTGGAATGGGAGAGGACATCCTGAAAGGACCATAACCATCCCTCTGTTCCTAGGCAAGCAAGGGAACTCTCTGGAATTGCTGTGCTCCCCTCCTCTGGCGTGCCCTTCTAGATGCCTGTCCAGCTGAAAGTCTAGGCATCTCTGGGGTCTCTGCACTATCCAGAGCCCAAGCTACTCACCCACCCACCCCAGGTCAGAATGCACGTCCCCTTGTCTAAGTCTGCTCCTCTATCCTGGGACCACCTTAACAGTGTCACAGGCTTGCACTAGATTTGCAGAGCCCAGACCTAGGTGCCACCTAGGCCTCCTTCCCTTTGCCCTCCGGTGTGTCTCATCCAGTGCTGAGAGGGACCGAAGGCAGAGCCTACCACCTCATTCTACAAAAGAATATACAAATTCCAACTCGGAACTACACCCTGCACCCAGAGCTGAGGCCTCCCAATGCCCACCCAGGACGACTCAGTCTCGTAGTGAAACCTGCTTTGGAGCTGGAACGTAGATGTGTGTCCATCCTGGAGGGGGCCAGACTATGCAGTGCTTGCAGTGAGCATTCCATCTCCAAGATTGCCCCTGACTTTTCATCTAGGATTGTGTGAGCACTTGTGTGCATGTGAGTGCCGAGTGCTAGGAAGCAAGCCCCAGGTGCTCCCTGTAGCCACTGCTCTCTATCAGGGAGGTTTTCTGCACCCACAACACCCTGCTCTGGTCTAGAACAGCAGTCATGGGGGAGATCTTGGTTTCTATTTATACATGGAGACGGTAGGAAAGAAGGTGAGCCTGGGAGCATGTGTGCTGGCATCAGAATCGATTGGGGACTGGTAATTAATTTGTTTAGACCTTAATTAATTCTCCAGTTCTTTCTTATTTGTGGACTGTCACGCTTAATTGTGTTCAGGAGCTCAAGCTTGGAGCAGGCCCTCCGTTAATTGATGTGTGGCTGCTGGGAGGTGCAAGTTAATGGTTTGGGAAGCTGGGCAAACAGTGCCATTAAAGGTCAACAGAGGAGATGCTGGAAAAATACACACCCCTGGGTCCAGCCACCGATCTCCAGAGCTGAACCCGCTCTACAGGAGGCAGGTCCCACAGATAGCCTTTCTGTGAGGCCTTGGAGGAAATGTGCAGGGTGGCAGTGCTAGGTGTGGGTCTCACGAGAGACAACTGTGAGAAAAGAGGCATGCCTGTGGTCAGAGGTGGATGGAGCAGGGCCTCTAGAGACGTGGAAATACCAGTAGTCACCTATCTCAGTGCATTTGCTCAGAGCTGGTGCCCTGGCTCCATGTCTGCCTGACTGTATCCAACGAGAAGGAAGCAGCAGCAAGTGCTCTTGAACCCTGCACACCCCTGAGCTTGAGCCTCTTTGTTAGTTACTGTTCTCATGCTTTGACAAAAGCACCTTAAGGAAGGGCAGGGCTTGTTTTTGTACAGTTCGCTAGTTTGACAGGAATGTCCGTCATGGCAAGACGTCATGATGGCAGGAGCTTGGTCACTTTGTAAATGCAGCGAGCTCATGGAGGGAGGTGATCGCTGGTGCTCAGCTCACTTCCTCCTTTCCACTCAGTCCTGGCCCCCAGCCCACAGGATGGTGCTGCCCACATGCAGGGTAAGTTTGCTCACCTTGGTTAACCCAGTATAGAAACTGCCTCCTAGACACATCAGTCTCCTAAGGAATTCTAGACCCTGTCCAATTGAGCATCAGTGTGAACTGTCCCAGCCACCCATAGGATAATAATCTTTCATGAACCAGAAAGTCCTTCCTTGGCTAGGAAATCTTCTGGGTCCTTCCTAGGGTCCCTTTCATACGTTGTCAAAAAGTGTTTCATTGCCATAACATTTTTTGTTCTGTGTTCCCCTGTGAGCTGTTGCTCAGACCTTCTAAAAAGTCTGAGGGTGGGGGTGAGGGTGTCTCCTGATTCTTCATACCCAGTGAGCCTTACATCTGCTCCTTTGTGCCCTTTCCATGCCCCAGGTCACAGAGGTCTCCATGGCATTGACTCCCCCTTTGCTGCCTAAGCCTCAGACCCCCATCAAAGCATAACTCCCCATTACTTATCTCCTATGGGCTGGAAGGCAGTAGGGTGTACCTGTGGCAGCTAAGTTCTGGCCCCTGTGAATGGTTCCCCTATAAGGTCAGTGGTGCTTCATAAGGCATCCATGTCCCTTTGATGCTCCTCAGGAGGCTGCAAGAGCCTGCTTGAGCCTGTTCTGTGCTTACCCCTGGACACACGGCAGCTGTGGCTGCTGTGTTCCTCTCTACCTCTGCTGAGTTTCAGGCAC